CCCCCAAAAAAGCCAGAATAACTGCAGTGTCCACTTCCACTAGTGGTTAATAGAGGAATGTCTGCTTACATTGGTCAGTGTAATGCCCTTCCCTAGATTAGTAGTAGTGTGTCCTTTATATTGGTGGTCATTGTAGTGCCCTTTTAAATTGATGGTCAGTGTAGAATCCCCTGACATTGGTGATCAGTGTAGGGAATCCTTACATTGGTGGTCAGTGTAGAATCCCCTGACATTGGTGATCACTGTAGGAAATCCATATTTGATGGTCAGTGGAGAAGTGCTATCGTACATTAGTAATCAGTGCATCATCTCTTACATTGGTGGTCAGCGTAGGGCACCCTCACCTTGGTGGTCAATCTGCCACTGCCCACTGTTCAAGGAACCCCTAGGAACCTCTGGTGGAACACTGGAGCTCTATGGAACTTTGAGAAAGGCTGGTTTGGTGTGTTGGTGTATACTTAGGTGTAAGGTGTAATATTGTTAAGCCATCTTTCTCTTGCACACACAATTACCCCTTAACAACCAACACCTATATTCTCATTAGCTGGGACCCACACCGTGTAATTCTGTTACCTTGTTGACTGATTATCCTCCTCCAAAAGCTATAAAGCATATGGTTGTGGGCCAGAAAGGGGAGTCATGTTGGAATATGAGCAGGAGTAATGTGCTTTCTACAAAACTGAAGCTGGCTTGGAGTGGAAAGGGTTATGCAGGACTGTCCTGCAGCTTTGGTTAATTTCCCAGTGTTCAATCACCTGTAGGTAGCTGCATAACCCAGTGTTTAAAGAATTAACTCAGTGTGTCCTGTGATGTACTCCAAGAAACATTTTTTTCCAGATAGGAATAAAATCCAGTTTTTTTAAGCATGCCAACACATGAGATGTGCAACCATTCTATTTCTAAATGAGGCCTTCTTCTGCAGGATTTATTGCTGGATCCATTGTACCACCTGAGATCTTGAAGAAACTTCTCACTGAGACATCAATGAGAAATATTATGGTATGTCCTCTCACATAGTAAAGTGCTTATTTAGAAATACAATATAGACAAAGTTTTTGGACATCTGATCACCTGATCACCACATCTACATTATAGGGCCAGAAGTAGGTGGATACCTATATATGGTCTGAAAAACAACATAAGGTATAGGTTTTGCATCATTCTGCTACATGAAGATGGAACATACAGTATACTCTATGTGTCCAAATGTTTGTGGATACTTGACCATCACACCTGTTTGAGCTTGTGGACATACCACTCCCATATTAT